TACTGACTATAAACCTCACCTATAACAGACTCAGTCTACGGACTAGAGCTTTGTGACTCTATGAACCCAGTAACTTACATTCTCAGAACCACTTAGAGCAGCGGTTCTCAACCTGTGGGTAGTGACCCGCAGGAACGGTATTAAAGGGTGGCGGCATTGTGAAGGTTGAGAACCACTGACTTAGAAAGAAGGCAGCAGTCCTGCCCATCTTCCAGCACTTGTGATCTTGCAACAGAACACAGGGAGAGTAAACAGGCACAACCTTTCTTAGCGTAAGGTTAAACATAAGCTTACAGCATTAATACCTATCCTATTATTAAAAGTTTTACAACTGAACTAACTTAACTTCTTACTTCTTAACATGCGCCAAGTAGACCAACATCCCAGGCTTAATCTTCAACTCAACCACTTACATTTGCTGACCTGTGATCCCAAACTAGCCACTCTACCCAGACCAGCTCCCTGATGGGGCTAGAGGTAGAGAGTTACTAAGAAGACTGTGTAATAACATCATAAATTCATTACCTGCTACTAGTGGAAAAACTCCCAGGTTCATGGTTCAAAGACAACAGAAAGTGCTTATTAATACAATATCATGTATTTTCTAAAGAAGCTCACTCATCAATTGGACATTGATTCTGAAATATACAACAGAACCTAATTCAAGGTATGTTAATGATGCATAGCAGTAATCTTTTAGCTTAAGTTAAAAAAATAAAAATTATTACTTGTCAATTAAGATTTATGGCTATCTCTTATTTCCTGATTTTACTGTGGTCAATAATCTTTAATAACTTTATGTAAAACTATTTGAAATGCCTCTTTGTAAAGCATTTTGGGGTCTGAACTATTTCATGCAAAAATGTTGTTTAGAATTTTATTGTATTTAGACAACTGGGTTGCCATATAAAGGCAATGCAGTAAATATAAAATTCACTTTAGGGGGTACGGTGCCTGAAAGAGATGAGAAATCTTCCTCCTAAGCTGTTGATCCTGAGGAGTAAAGGAGCAAACCCTACGTGTTTAAATGCCAAACACGGAAAAGAGTCCTTTCAAATATGACCCCCAAAATAAAAATCACAAGAGCTGACATTCAGAAGTGCCAGCTTCATGTGGCTGGAGCTGCTGTTCTCATAGGCAGCTCCAAGCAGCAAGCCTCAGAGGAGCAGCAGGTATGTAACAACGGTTAATAATTCTCCTGAGGGGAAGCCTGCTAGCTTTCAAATTACCTATATTAAAATCTGTAAACTGAGAAGTTCACATGAATTTCAGGGGATTAAAGTCCAAAATATCTACAATTTAGTGTAAGTTATACAATTCCGCATAAATAGTATGTTTGAGCAGCCTATTTGAAAAATCTCTGCTCCACGACGAAAACGTAATTAACCATGATTTTTGGCTCAGACTTCTGGAATATAAAAAGCTGGGAATCAATTATTTCATTTTATTTCTCCAAATTACAGCAGATAAATCAATAAGTTAAATATATGCATATATACACAAACTGCTTTCGGGCTAAGAATTGGATACCACAAACTCTAACTTTATCAATTTTACATTTTCTGCTTTAATATAATGAATATACCGCATCCCATTGAGTAATGAAAGCAAAAATAAGCCCTATGTCTGCTGTATTATCAAAATTTACCTAGCTTATCATAACAACAGTCTGCCTGTGGGAAAGAAAAAGAGTCTGTGAATCAATTATTATCCAGAGGCAATAATATTTTCTTAAGGAAGTGAAAAGTCAAGCTCACGGCGTAGATCAATACCTTTCCAGGGACCCGGAGACTCTCGAGGGCACCGAGGTCACTGAGGCTCTCTGGAGGGCTTTTCAGACCCTTAAAAAAATAAGATAAAGACAATTTTAATGATGCTGAAGAATTAATCAGAGGATAGCACACATCTTCTGAAACAGAAATGACCATTTTAAAAACAGAAATTTTCCTGCTTCAAAATATATTGAACACATATCCTAAAAACAATCATCACTTAAGACATATAGTACTATTATTAAATCAAGTAAAGATGTACCTTTGGTATTCTAAAAGGAAAGTATTATATGGAACCTTCACAATTAATGGTGGACGTCTAACCTACCCATGATTTCAAAGAACCAGAAGACAATTTAAATGACAAAAAGCATTCCATTAAAGAAAAGTACTTATGTATTAATCATTGCCAAATTCACCTGGGAAGAAGGTCTAAACAATACTATTATGATTCACAAATACAATATACTAACCAACCGAACTAATCAAAGATTTTTTAATGCTAATTGTTTAGTTAATACGTAAGTAATTCCTTCATTTTACCTGATTGTTTCTCACCAATGTATCCAATTCTTGCTGCACCAATTAAGACTTAAATCTCACATCTCACTGCCTTCTCCTTGTTCTCTAGCTCTTTGCTATCCATGCATTTTCCACATTCTCGTCACCTAAGGGATCGGGAACGTCTTTAAATATCTATCTCTCCTCTCCCAGATCTTAAGTCCCAAGGAAAGAAAGAGTCCAATTCTTACACCTCTATAGCTCAGTGGCTAGCAAAGTTCTAGGAACATAGTAAACACCGAAGAAATGAGTAAATTACTGGGTGAAACTGTTCATCAGACTCCAATCTCCAAGTGATGAGCACACTGTCCCCATGAGATCATGCAACTGACTGCAAACTAAAACTTCCAAGAATGTCTGCTAGAAAAGGAAAGGCCTAGGGAGGTTTATTATGCCTTTCAATGAATAAGGGGGGACTAGTCACAGGCAAGTTGTCTTCCCTGTTTCAACTTCTTACCAATAGTCATGAGGGCATAGCACCAAAAATGGTAAAAAAAAAAAAAAAAAA